AGCCCCGCTCCTCGTTCCCCCTCTCACCTTTTCCTTCCTCTTCCCTCTTCCCAAACCTTTCTCGTATCTGCAAGAGGAGGGGGGTGGGGGGTGGACAGGACCCGCGCTGGACGCGGTGCCCGGCCCGGGCCGGTGGGTGGAGCGGTGGAGCTCACCTCACCTCTGGCCGAGACGCCACGCGGGCGACGGTCCTGGACGAGGGCAGTCTCAAGGACACCGCGGGGTTAAGCCCTCTCCACGTGTGCGCCTCATCCCCCCTGTGAGGAGGCTCTGCGGGCCCTTCGGGACGCACGCCCTTGTGCACGTACCCCCTCCCTCCTCTCCACCTCCACCTCCGGCCGACGCGACGGGACGGGCGCGCCGCCGCCGCCGCTCTCCCCCAGGGTCGGCCTCCAGAGCTGACCGCATGTTAACTGGAGTCACCTCGTTCCCTCTCCCCAGGCACAGAAAGAGAAAGAGAGAGAGAGGGTGAGCGGCGCGAAGCCACGAAACGGTCGGAGCGAGCGAGAAGGATTGGAGATTCTTCTTTGGGCGGCGAGGCCTCCGGTCCGGACCCGGCGAGTGCTTCCTGGAACGCCGTGGCCCCCGTGGGCCCCCGGGTCCCCCTCCCTCCTCCCGCCCGGCGTCCTCCGTATCCTCCCGGTGCCCGAGTGATCCCTGACTGACCGCGCGGGCGGCCTAGACAGCTGCACAGCCAGCTGCACAGCCAGCTGCACACGCATCTGCTATCAGCCGCGCCCCGCCTGTATCGCGCGCAGGTGCTTGGCTCTGCAGGGGGCCCCTCTCCCACACAAGGACGCGCGCCGAAAAGACCACGAGCGGCGCGCAGTGTAAGTAAGGGGGTACGCGACGAGCCAATCAGCTGTGCAAACACCATACATACACACGCCCGGGCCGCGAGGTAGGTGCGCGCCCAGAGAAATAAGGTGGCTGCAATCGACCGATACAATATGCGTTATGCAGGATCCAATCGGGCAGAGCGGTCGCCTCGACAACGCGGTTGATTCCAAGCGCACGCAAGAACGCGGCCGCGCGTTGCTTCTCTCGCGGCCCAGTGACTCACGGCCACCGCGGCCCACGAAAATGAGAAGAAATTGAGCACCCGCGACGGGTACTGCTGTACCGCGCCCCGCCCCCGGCTCGCTCGCGAATGGGCGGGCAAACCACTCCCCGCGCCCCTTCCACCCACCACCCCTTTGCCTTTACTCCTCAACGGCTGCAATTGTCACAATCAAATCACGCGCGCGGCGCGTCTGCAGCCAGAGCCAGCGCACTGTCGCCACCGCGCGCCGCGTCCTCCGCGCTGGAGGCCCCCAAATGCCCTTCCTCCGCAGATTGCAGCGAGAAACGCTTCTACCCTTCCACATCTGCACACCGCACGGGCAAGGTGTCTGTGCATTTAATCACGCTCTTTCTCTCTCTCTGCTCGGTGCACACAGCCCGGGCTCTCTGGCAGGCAGGCCGGCCGGGCGCTTCTCAGAAGACGGCGGCCGCGGCGAGGAGCAGCAGCAGCAGCAGGCTGAGCGCTGCTGCTGCTGAGCGTTGCTGCTGAGCGCCCCGGCCCGGCCAGCCACCGCGCTGCAGTGCAAGTCAGCGTGCAGAGCCGAGCCGCCGAGCCCAGCCGGGGCTCTGTGCGCGGGCCGAGCCGAGCCGGGGCGGGCGGAGCGAGCAGAGTCCTCGCCTTCGCCTCGCACAAGAGAGGCCCCTGGCTGCCAGCACGGCTGGCCGCCCGGGCCGGCCGGGCAGCAAGGGGCCCCCGGGGCCCCCGCGCGCCGAGCAGGCAGCCAGCATCCCTCCGCACAAAAGCACCCGGCCCCCGCTGCCGACCTGACTCTCGGGGTGCCTGTCGGTCCTGGCCGGTCCCGGCCCGGCAGGTATGTAGTGACACTATGACACCTGCCCCCCCCCCCTTCCTATTCCCTCCCCGCCCCTCGCCCGGGGAGCCGTCCTTGTTGAGCGCCCGCTGCCGGCGGCCCAAGACTCATCGGAGGCCTACGACGGCGGCAAGCGTCGCGACGGCAGCGTCAGAAGTTGACACAGAACGCCCCCCCCTCTCCCCCTTACACCGCACGCCCACACTCGACTCAGCGGGGCATAAGGCGGCGGGCACCGCAACGCGACCGAGCCAGGGGCGTATCCATGGCAACCTTACTTACCTCACGAGTCCATCGGGAGACAGTAGGTGGTGGTGGATCGCCGCGGCGACACGGCGAACAGGAGGTAATCCACAAGAAGGCGTCGGAGGCGGCGGCGGCGTCGGCGGCAGCGCAGCAGGTCCTGCCGACGTCCCACACAATCACTCACTTTGCAAAAACAACACTGATCACTTGACTGTCGCACCACACTCTATCTCTGTCGCGCAGCCTCGCCACTTGGGCCACTATCAATCGCGCATTGACGCACTTGGCCCTCACACTTATCGCACTGGCAATCACCGGCTGTCGCGGCCGCTGCGCGGTGCACACCCACGTCCAGCTCTCCAACACACAGACACACACACACACAAGGGCCCGGGGCGCGCGCGCTGCGCTGCGCCTGCGACGGAACGGCCGACCAGCGTACGGACGGGCTCACGACCTACCGCCTCCACGGCCAGACGCGCACTGGCGCTGGCGGGCGGCACTGGCTGGCCGCCGGCTGGCAGCCCCGTCTGTCCCGCACGCCCGCCCGGCCCGGCCGCTGCCGTACCGCGCCGCTCAGCGCGCTCAGCTCGGCTCGATGGGCCCCGCAGGCCCCCGCACCGCCGCCCGGCCGTGCCCCGCCCGCCCGGCAGGCAGGCAGGCAAGCCTGCTCGCCAGGATCCCGCCGAGGGTAGAGTACGGAGTAGAGGGAAAAGACCGTCGCCACCCGCCACCTCTAGGAGGACCACTAGCCACCTCTAGTAGTCCTCCGCCACCTTCTCCACACACTACACAGGCCGACACGGGCGCAGGACGGGCATAGGAGAGATTCCAGGAGCACTTAATTCGACGTGCTGTTCGCAGTGATATGCGGACCTCATAACTCCACTTTCTTCAGGCGCCCACATGAGACATGGCGGGCTGGCTGTGGCGGTCTTGCCCCCTCAGCTTCAGTGGCTTCAGCATTCAGCAGCAGAGGAAAAAGGGCACGGGTAAAACGCGTTCCTGATGGGTCGACAGTTTCCAGCCGTTTGGTCGCCGGAAACGGGGGTAAAGGCCCGACCAATCAGGATCCTTTCACCTTGTATATTCTGTATATTTAAATTAAACTCCACCGCGAGTCGAAGCCCCGGAGGAACACCAAAGGGGGGGGGGCACGTACACCACCTAGATAATTACTGATATTGATATCACTTACAAGAAATCACAACAACAAAAAACTTTGGAAAGTTTACCTTTAAAATAATTGAATTGACTAATTATTCCGGCAATCGTCGTAAAGTCTTAAGTAAAAATATATAATACTCTCACCACAAATCATAACAAATTAGGCATATACTTTAATAGCCAACAATCACCAAAACAAGACCAAGACAATCTTACAAGTGATAATCACCATGGACCGATAATGATCCTCGTACGCGATTTTTTCAAAATGGTGCGTAGTATAGACCCTTGGCACAGGCGGGGTGCGCGGGGCGGGAGTGGAGCGCTGCCGACGGCAGCCCCTGTCTGTGACAATGGCGGCGATACGGTGGGCGGGAAGACAATCACATATAAGCCCATTCTACGAACCGGGAAGTGGGGTCGGTGGTACTCTACGGTCATTCGCAGGGGCGGGCCGGGGGGGAGCGTCTGATATCGCACCGGACCGCGCGGCCGCGACCCGGCGGCTTCCAGTGCGCTAGTAATAGGGTATTTCAGTGCATCCTGGGGGGGGGGGGGATTAAGAAGTAGAATGAAATCACAGAAAAACGGAACTAGCAGTTGAATGTCGAACCGTCGGGATGTGAGAAATGCGTGACACTCTGTCGTTCGTTTGTTACTTTCAATGAAATCACGTGTATTTCTAATGCCTGAACAAACGGTTCCCATTCAACGGCTGGTTAGGTTTTTGGTGATTCCATTGTATTTCTTACTTCCGGCTCCGGGATTCACTGAAATACCCGAGATACCCTCTTCGGAGGCCTCGCCACTGTATCCACGACCATGATGAATGAAAAGGGCGCGATCTGGAGAGCAGCGGTAAACTGGAGAGTATGGCCTCGCACTCTATGCTGCACCGCAAACACACTTGTAAGCGGGTTGCCTATTGGCCAGGCGCAACGGAGGGCGCCAAGGTGAGCGACGGCAGGCATGCGGGACAGTATACGACGCGCTCCCTCTGGGACACCCTGTATACTGCTCAAGTCCTTTAATGACCTTGTTCTAAACAAAGAGGAAAATAGCCTCGATGTACAGTACTCGACCGGCGACGGAGAACATCCACCACGGTGTGTACTTTGAAAGTAGTCACCTCCCCTCCCCTCTTTTTCCCGGGGCAACTGACGAAAACTCTCAAGGTTTTCATATACAAAATCACAGCCGGGAGCAAGCTTTTCTAAGATGTTGCTGCGGTGGTGTACACCTAGCTTGTCGAGGGTCCACCACGCAAAGGGATGTATGCGGGGCCCGCAGCAGGCCCATGTGTTGCGACGAGAGCTGAGGAGATACCCATTAGCTCGCTCCTGGTTGTGTCGCAGTACAGCGATTTGATACGTGGTGTGCAAGTTTGGCTCTACCCACTCCCGGAGTGCGCGGTGCGTAGGTGGCAGGTGGCTCACAGCATCAACAACTCTAGGAGGCGGCGAGGGCGGGCGAGGGTGCCGCCGTGGGTCGGCTCGGAATCCCGTCCACCTACAGCACACGACAACAAGCCGGCTCTAATAAATTGCCGCGCCTAGGTAGGGGCGGGGATCAGCCGGCCAAATCACCGGCACTGTCAGTCGGGTGGCTGCTGCCCGGCCAGGCCCGGCTAGCACACTGCACCAATGCACACGGTACACCCGTCCTGCCAAAAGAGAGATTACCCGCAACTTCAGCACACACTCACACACACACACACCTTGCGCACACGCACACAAGCGCACCGCCACGCACAAGCACACACACGAACGATCACAAAAGGGGGCATAGGGATGGGGCGGGCGGGGCCATCGAGGCAACGCAGAGGCAACGCCGGAGGCCTTAGCACGGCCCGATGAGTAAAAATAAAAGAGCCTTTTAGTTTGCTGGAATAAAAAGCGGCGTACAACCAACAAACTTCAACGAAAATAA